AATATTATGTAGTGTTTTCTTGAAATTGAATGAAACAACATATTCTTGCCTTGTTATAATATAGGGTATACCAACCTGCTGCATGAGGCTCTTGCCCTCATAAAGCTGATCAGCCATTCCACTAGGGAGCTATAGGCAGGGGTACGCCTCAGCAAGGGGGCTCTTTCTGTATTGGCAATTCTATATTCAACACAAATGTACCCACAAAAACTTTGATTCTTGTTTACTAGGGGTGGAATCATGGGCACAAAGGGACATAGACCACTTATAGGTATCAAATTCACAACTTAGGGCTCAAGAAATAGACCCCAATAGAATAGAGCGGAACATTGTGATAGTGATCTTCGTGGACAACAATTCAATTGCACTATATGCAAAGACCTACAACACAGCCGCATTGGATGCAAGGGGGTCACAAATGAGGATCGCTGAGGATTGTGCCAACAGATAGAGATAGAGTAGTCTACTTTTTTTGTATTGGATAATAGCCAAAGATGCAACCAACCATTTGTAAGGGGACGAAAGTCTAGAGGCAAAACGCCTTATCTAAGGAAGAGAATGTACCCAAAATGTGCCAAAAATCAAAACGGCATCAAGAGCATCTATGCACAGCGGCCTAGCAAATGGAAGGATAGCAATTCTTTGCAAAGCAACAACAGTAAATTGGAAAACTCTTTCGTCCAGGCTGGCAATGAGCTAGACACATCGAGCCTACTATTGATTTTACCAATGGGGTGCTCATTGATGTCGATTGTGGGTGAATGCACCTAGGATGTACCACTTTCAGTAAAGTGGTGTCACATCAGCATTGCACACAATGGCATTGCAGCGTGTAGTGTGACACAACCAATTCTTGTGCATCATCTACCCGTTTACCTTCCCGCCCACTTGCCTGGTAGGTGAGGGCATTTCTTTTAGGCAATTTGAAAGTCACAAATGCCAATGCGGAATCAATCCTCCAATACAAGGCCTAGTTCTAGCATTTTGAAATAGACCCACAACCACACCTGGGGCTCTGCCAAGATAAGCCCGCAAACCCAAATCCGGATTTTTGCCCAAACGAGCAAGTTTTGTGAGGGTTTGCTCAGTGTGAATGTTGGATCATCACCTACGATTGTATCTTGATGAGCAGTGCAACATTTGTCGAGTTGTCGAGATATGGCAGGAGGCTATATAAGAGAGCATTGATATAAGGACAAATGCATCAATTTGGAGAATACATTAATCATTAGTCCTTCAGTCCCTTCCACCCCAGTTTCCCAGCCTTTTTTGTGAGGATCCCCATTTCTTCTGCTGACAAGGTCTATGTAGATCAATGGGCCAGTGCTTGTTTGGGTTTTCACAATATCCAAAATAAGAAGGGATCTTCACAGAAAGATAGAGCAACTAATTGCCTAACAACTTCGGCAAGCATCAGGATTGATTCCTATTGACTGAGGTAAGCTATAACTGCAAATGCATACGAGCACATTGTTGTTGTGAATCACAGCCTGTGATAAATAGTTTACAATACACAATATGGTTAGATATTTGCTCAGCCGCCCCTCTATGATAAAACCCAAAACAAAAAAGGCAAAGGAGCCAGAAGTGCTAAAATATCAAGAAACAACTCAAGGCCTCTAAGCATTGTTTCACTCATCACATGAGACTTCTCGAAGCTTCCTATTAGTGATTTTCCCTTAAAAACATTACTATACAGAATTTTGTATGCTCAACGTCAAATGGCATTAAGAAAGGGGCCGGGATAGTAAAAGCCATAGACATGAAAAAACTATTTAACTATACTATTAGTGCAATTAAACTTAATTTTTAATTAAAAAGAGGGGCAAGAAAAATCAAACAGCTTTGAAGAAATCAAAAGCAGAAGCAAAAAGGTGACACTGACTATTGGTGGCCATAGTACATTCAAAATAAAGATGGACATTTGTTTGAAGTCGTATATCAATTCTCAAGAAAAGAATGAGAAACAAAGTACTCCATGCTTGATGTTGCCATAGCAACTATACTCCCATAAAAAATTAGGCACTTTTTAGCGGTAGCGATATGCATAGGCACATGTAAAAATACCATTCGGCAACGCCAATTGCAATGCCATATGACAGTATTTGTCACCATCATCGTTACTATAATGCCATCAAAATCTTCTATGATGGTGCCTCTTAATGTGGAAATGAGATCGCAAATAGGATCATCAATATGTGATTTTCTGCCAGTGGTCACGCCTACTTGCAAGCAGGAGTGACCACTAGCCAAAACCTCCTTGAGCTCATGGAGGTTTCTTTTGCTTGGGTTGCAAGGTACAGACATGATTTATTCCAACAGACTGCTCAGCAGACCCCAAAACTTAATAAACGGTTTGTCCTACCCAATTGTGCCTGCTGGAACAATGTTAAGCACAAGGAAGAAAATACAAGCAATGGCCCTTTAAAAACATGCGGAGCCCAAAACACAGTGCTTAGTTTTGAAACCGAGGAAGGGCAACATATAACACCATATGTTTGTATATTATTAACACAATTGCACACAAGTACATCAACCTGCATACATATGTGAACCAAAGTGTAGTGTAGCATGCGCAATGCATAACAAAAAATTTTCAATTCAATAATGACGTCAGCCCATTGGGGTCACCAAGCATCCCGCCAACAAGCAAACCAACCTAAACTAAACGAAGCCAACCCCAAGCCCCTAAAATTTCTCTTTCGCCTTACTGCAACATACTGACCGAGCCGGGTCCCTGGCCGCCGGCACGCCTAACAACCCCAACGCCAGATGACCAATTTATTTTCCCACTCACATGAACTCTCAAAAATATAATAAACAGAAAATAAACTCCTAAAATAATGGAATCAAGCTCGAGGGTGTTGTTGCTTCCCAATTCGCCCTTGATTTTGTTATCTAGGCAATCCGCCTGTTGGTGACTCCTGGTGAAGTCACCAACAATGTCGACAAAACTTATGAGTTGATCAAGCTGGTTATGGTAATGTGGTAGCAACTCGTTGGTTTCTTGCCTTGCCGAGCGGAGCTCGGCCCATCGCCAAAGTCGTGGAGGCTGTATGCGGAGCGAAGCGGAGCAGGCCGGAACGACTTTGGCGTAAGGGCCAAGCGTAGCAAGGCCTTTAGCTGGAAAACGGGTTTGGCCAGAATGGAGACGCTTAATAAATATAATGACTTTGATGATTTTTGGCCGCCACATGTAAGAGCGCCTGGCGGCGGCGCCGATTGTATCGATCGATTGTTCTGGAGCCTCCCTGCCTCCTCGAGCGTAGCAGCCGCGTGCCTCGGACGGGACCGCAAAGAGCGGCCGTCACCCACGGGCCAGAGAGAGCCCGGGACACGCCGTCCGAGGACGACCACGCTTCCACCGGAGAGGCCCTAGAGCGCGGGCCAGGGTACTTGGACACGGCCAAGGGGGGACCGCGCTGACACTGGCCAAGCTAAACTAAACTATCTGGTACTTAAATTTTGCCACCTTGGCAGTACACTGATTGGCGTGCCTTAAGGGAATTTTCCGGCTCCTGATGACCGACCGATTCTTCTAGATACATGAGCCTTCAAAAATATAATAAATAGTGTTCGCAGCACTGCATAATGGCCACCGTTCACCGGGTGGATCATTTATGCATTATGGTGTGAGACTTGCATGCACTTCAAGAATATGGTTTATATGCAGGGCATTTTGATTCAATGAAAAGAAAAGAAAAGTGTGTTTTAAATTTCACAAAAATATACATTTTTATGATAGGACTTTTGTGAGCATTAATGTGATTGTTGTGGGAGATGTCATCTGATTCAAACAAATGCTATGGTGGGGTGTTGCTCGCAGTTGAAACATTTCTACACTACCATTGAGTGTATGGGTGCCTTTGGCTTATGTTTTAGAGTGAGCTGCACTGTGGCGCCACAATGCACCATTGCCGGCGATGCGTGGGCATCTCTGAAGTGTCGTATGGTTGGTAGGTGATGGATGATGATCCTTGTTATGTGAAAAAGAGAGTTCTGTGTGGGCAAGGAGATTTGAATTATTTGGTTGCATTGTTCATTGCCACCGTTGGCAAGGAAAGGCTTCGTTGTGGGAAGGGCGAACAATATGTAAGTTCCGGGCGTCTGGTGTGTGGTTGTGGCCTTGCGTCTGGCCATGTGCCAATGCCATCGAAGCATCGGCGATCGTGGACTCGCGCTTCCCATGGGCACTCCAAAGGGAGCTGTTTGAATCGCACCAACAGCCTTTCCTTCAAAAACTTATTTTTCAAGGAAAAGCCGTTGGTGCCATTTTCAGAGTTTACTCTTGTTTATAAACAAAAAGTAAACTCTGAAAATAATCCCACCAAGCCCGAGGGTATCGATGCTGTCCAAGTCGCTCCCTGATTTTGTCATCCAGGCAATCCCCATGATGGTGACTCCTGCTGGAGTCACCAACAGTGTCGGCAAAACCCAAGCAAACCAAGTTAAGCTAGCCCGTCTGGTACTAAAATTTCGCCACCCTGGCGGTACGCCGACCAGCCGGGGTTGCCGGCGCCCCGGCGCCGGCACCCTCCCCGGGCCCGGATGACCGACCCATTTTTCCAACCCTGGCCCCCGCCCCGGCCCACCACCACACAACCCCCCAAGCCCCAGACGCGCGCCCGATTGAGCCAGCCGGCCTGGGCGCCAGCCGTCCAGGAGACCGCCAAACGGCCCCCGCCGCGGCGCCCGGGCGAGCTTCAGCGCGGCGCAAACTACTTCCAAGTCGCGCTGCCCCCCCGCGCCTCCCTTTCCAAGGGGCGGGATCGAATCGAATCGCCCTGCGCTGTGTGGAATCGCCCTGGGTAGCGTGTGGCGGATCTTGGCGCGGGATTTGAGCCGGGGTTTGTCGCCCACCGAGGTGACGGGCGGGATCGCGGCGGGCGGGGGATGGTAGCAGGGGCAGCGGGCGGGCGAGGAGAGGCGCATCGCCGCGGGGCGGGTGAGAGGGGGGAGCGGGAGGCGGACGGCGTGCCGGGGGCCAGGTGGCGGAGCCAATGAGTGCGGTGTTTGGGATGATGAAGAAGAAACTCGGTCGCAACAGTCTGAACAAGGTGTCGCAGTCCGGCGGGCACGGTGACGGCGGCGCACCCGCGGGGCCTTCGAACAACAGGGGCGGGGCGGAGGTGCCCGGGGGGGCCAGGGCGGCCAACGCGCCGGCCAATGCCGCCCGGGCGATGCGCGAGAAGCCACCCCCGCCGGTCCTCGACGCGGAGAACAGGGCCAAGTACTACGCCAGCCCGCTGCCCTCCTTCCGCGACGTGTCGGGGCCCAGCAAGCAGCTGTTGTTCGTGAAGAAGCTCCACCTGTGCGCCTTCGTGTTCGATTTCAGCGACCCGGCCGCATTCGCGCGCGAGAAGGAGATGAAGCGCGCCACGCTGCTGGAGCTGGTCGAGTACGTGAACGCCGGGCAGGGGAAGTTCACGGAGGCGGTGGCCGAGGACGTGGTGTTCATGCTGTGCGCCAACCTGTTCCGGACGCTGCCGCCCTCGCGGAGCCACGCATCGGACAGCGACGTGTACGACGCGGAGGAGGAGGAGCCCACGCTGGAGCCGGCCTGGCCCCATCTCCAGGTGGGGGCCCCGTTGCCTCGCTCTTGGCGATCGTTTTCGAACTTTTTTTCGCCCGTTTTTGTGGCCGCGTGGAGGGGCGGCCGGCGGTGGGAATTCCCCATTAGGGGTCTGATGGCGGTGGGGAGGGCTTTGCGGCGGTAGGGGGCGGGATCGAAGCCTTGGGGGCTGGATGGATCGGATTGGTCCCGCCGTCGGAGCTGCTGGAGCCCTGGATGAAAATTTGGTCGAGGGATTCCCGCTGGAGCGATGCGCTGGCCCTGAGTGTGACTGGCGGGCGACGGGCGACGCGCGGCGGGCGTTGCGCCGGTGGCTGCTTTCGGCTCTGCGATCTGAGGCGCAAAGCGCCGGTGCGGGGCCTCGCGCGGGATCGGCGGGGCGGCTGGATCTGATGTTTGCAATCAGGGTGGTGGGGTTGCAAGCCCATGGGCGTGCGAGCGCGGCGAGGGCTGCATTGGCGCCGGTGCTCGAGCGCGTTTGTCGGCCTTTGTGTCCGCAACCTCGCATTACGCCCTGTCAGGACGGCATTCAAGGGCTGGGGTTGAAGAGGCGGGTCATTTCAGGGGGGGGTGGTTTGGTGTGGGGAAAGTGCACTGTGCAGACTGCTACTTGCCGCCAATGCCCAAACGATCGCAGCGCTCTGTCGCCTTTTGTGGAGGAAGAAGGAAAGAAGGGGGAAAGGGAGGGTGGTGGTGGTGGTGGCTGCAGCCTATGCCTGATTGGGTTTGTGCATCTTGTTTGATTGCTTTGGAGGAGCTGGTGATGGCCTCCTGACTTGCCGGGCATCCCGCTGTTGAGCTGACTGTCACCTCAACACATGGTGGACCAACTTGGCATGATGGCACTCTCTGATATTTTCCCAGCTGGCAAAGCCACATGTTGCCAGTGTTATGCGTTGTAGGGCTCTTGTTGTCCTGAACAGTGTTTGTGTATGCAGCCTGCCAAATCGATGAATTGGGACCCAACTATGTGTGCGACTTGAAAGCCAGAGAATTTGTCATACATTGCCACGCCTTGCAAGCAGAGATGCAGCAGGACAGCTGTTGCCTGTGATGCGCTCACCTCTGGTTGCATGCCAAATGCGGGCTTTGCGCTGTGCACTGTCGATCAACATGAAGGCTCATTTTCAGTGGTGTGGGAGTTGGCTGCAGTTGGTGTACGAGTTCCTGCTACGATATGTGGTCTCCACGGACACTGAAGCCAGGCAGGCCAAGAAGCACATTGACCATGAGTTCATTCTGAAACTATTGGACCTGTTCGATTCCGAAGATCCAAGGGAGAGGGACTATCTGAAGACAATTCTGCACCGGATCTATGGCAAGTTTATGGTCCACAGATCCTTTGTGAGGAAGGCCATCAACAACGTGTTCTACAGGTTCATATTCGAGACAGAAAAGCACTCTGGCGTGGCCGAGTTGTTGGAGATCCTGGGGAGCATCATAAACGGCTTTGCCCTGCCGTTGAAAGAGGAGCACAAGGTGGGCAGCCATAGGAACCTGCCTGAGCTGCATCGACCACGTTTGCTTTTCAGACAAGGCGAACGTTCTTGCTCACCTGGGGCTAAACTCATTGTTGAAGTTCCCTCTGAAATGCCAAGCAGGGCCGTTCCACCCTCCCAGCGATGTTGGCATGTTGTTGGCACTGTGCTGTGCAGTAAGGACTTGGTCAAGTCAGTAGTGCAGTATCGGACAGTTGCTGGGGATAGAATACTGAACAAGTATAGTTCCAGACAGTTGCGCCTTCATACTGGTCACACCATTGCCTGACAAGATGCAGTGAATGCCATGTCTGAGCATCCCAAGTTCTCTTGTTGCATCATGCTCAAGTGTTTCATAGATTCCCATGCAGTTGTCCTTTCAAATTGCCTTCGACAATACCAACCGGTGCCGTTGCCCCAGACGGGCGATGCCTGGCATGTATGCATCCAAGCACAGTTTGATGTTATGCTTTCTTTCCTTTTTTGCTCACAGCTTCCCTTGTCGTTTCTGGGCAGTGTGCTGCTATGGCACGAATCGCAACTCAGAGCTGGCGCACATCATTGTATGAACAGACACTGTTGTGAGTTTGAAACCTTCCTTGCCCCTGTTGTTGCTTCAGCCTACTTGATCCCAGTACTGTGTAAGCATCGCTGGGACCGTTATACTGAATCCCCTGATAGCAAGATTTGGTCGTTGTCTGCTGTGGTTGTTGTCTTGGTTGTTGTCTGCAGTCTAAAAGCAGGTGTCAACGCTGCGATTGACGTTTAGTACCCTAATATTGTCAATGTGGACCCTCAAAGCAGAATGTTGTGACAGCATCGTTTGCGTACCTCCTGAATGAATCCCATCATGGCCTGGCCAAGCATTTGCAACTGCACGCAAGCACAGCATGCATGCAGCAGTGCTGTGCTGTGCAGGCCTCGCCCCTGCCCCTGAAAATTTCACCTCAGAAAAAACTCTCAGGCACCCCTGCCACCTGTGCTCCTGTCGCCTTGGCGTGCATGTTGCATGTTGCTGCTTGTTCTTATTAATCTTGGGAGCCATCCATATCATCTGCCATACCATCATGTGGCCTTGCCATATTCCCTTCAGGAGGGGGTACCCAGTGTGGGACATGTTTCTCTTGCATGCATTGGCAAATCTTCACCACCACTCTGCCCACCCTTTGCGCAGTGCACATTGATTGCCCTTTGAGAAGCAGGCAAACAGAGGCCCCGCAGCCCATATGAATTCAGTGGCGGATTATGTGTTGTACTGCTTTTGTGTTGAATAGATGCTGTGGGGACTTTGCTGGAAGTGGAGACCATTTGGCTCTTTAGATGTGGAATTGTGGGTGCACCAGCTACCAAGAACCATGCGACTTCTGCAAGGAACTGCAGCACTAAAAGAGTGCCAACCCACAGTGATCACATTTGTGAGATTGCTATATCTGTGCTGTATTTATTACATCGTCTGATGTTGATTTGATCTGTTGTTTTACAAAAACTGTGGTTCGAAATGTGACCAATCACTGCCGTTGGTACTTGTGCCGGTATGTTTGGCATCAACGGACATCTCAACCAATATTTGCTCCCAATCAGTGGGTCTCAACACCTGTTTGCACACGTGGCAGGTGTTCCTTACCAAGGCACTGATGCCGCTTCACAAGCCCAAGTGCTTGTCAATGTACCACTCGCAGTTGTCATACTGCGTTACACAGGTAGGTCATGCCATCGGCAATGTGTAAGCTGACTGCCGCGTGCTGGTCAAGAGTCGTTTTGGTTACAAAACAAGAAAATGTCGCAGTTGTTTTGCTGCAAAGCATTGCAGCGCACTGGTAAGAATGAGGTGCTGACCTATTCTAATACAAGGGATGCTGCCGTGTCCCACCTCACAGGTAAGTGCAAGTTGATGTAATGCCAGGAAGATAATACGTTTGAAAATGTGTACTCAGACTCGATGAAGGCAAGATTGGTACTCAAGCAACGTTGTTGGATCAGTCCCCCCCCCAATACAAAAGGAGGGGCAGGAAGGCATATGAGAAAGCACGGCCTTTTCACCTGTTGTGGGATGTTGAGGGTTACCAGCTGTGCGTTCAGTACATTGTGCATTTACTGTGCATTGTGTGTTCAAGAATGGCTTTTGTTGCAGTCCCAGAGCCACTGCCACAGATTTGGGCAAAGTGGTGGGCCTCTAGGCTCATTGACAATACTTACCAACAGACTCCAGCAGGGCAGCCCCATCAAAGCGGAAGGCATAAGTCAAAGCTGCGCTATTGTTGTAGTCTTATTCCTTGTTCCAGCAACCAACGGGGGCAACAAACAGGACACCGGCAACCCCACAACGTTGAATCAAACTCAACGGCGTATGTCACAATACTACCTAGATACATGCACTGTTGTGCACACTGCCAGTAGTGCTGCCACCAATTATGTTGACCCTGTCGACACCTTCCCTTCATCTGTTCTATTGTTCTGTACTGGGAGCTATGTGTTGTGCGAAAGGTTGTAGACAACACATCACAAAAGCAGCGTTGGAAACTGACAAGAGGTGCAAGCATCTTTCAGAAGGAGAATGTACCAATTAGGTGGTCATGCTAGGCCATGGGTATCTTGATATAGAATCTTGCACAGGACACTACGATTTCTGGCCATCTCAAGTTTACCCATATTACATAAGGATAAAATAGCTTCATATAGTCTGTTGATGAAATGTTAAAGGAATCTGTGGAGAAATATGTTTCTGCAGACAGCTGTGTCATACCCCTCTGTGGTGAGTTTCGCGGTGCGACTGCTGCAGTTTGTGGAAAAGGACTACGCCCTGGCAGAGTCAGTCCACCAGTGCCTCCTGAAGTACTGGCCGGTCACCAACAGCCAAAAGGAAGTGCTGTACCTGGAAGAGCTGGAAGAACTGCTGGAGCTGACCCAGCCTGCAGAGTTTCAGCGCGTGATGGTGCCCCTCTTCAGGCAGCTGGCGAAGTGCATAAGCAGCTCGCACTTCCAGGTGATGCATGAAACCCGCTTTTGCTGTGTCGACCTGTCACGAAAAATTGCTTGAGAGGAGAATATGATGACTGAAGAATATCATGAATTATACATATAATATCGTGAAGATTCTTATCGGAGTATGAGAGGTGAAATGTGAAGAGTGTGCGCAAGGACACCATTGCTCTATTGGTAGCGCAGAGAGCCTTTAAAGAGCGCAGGTTGCGGCTATGGAAGGTTGACCGCCTTGTGCTGCCATGATGGTAGTTGCAAGCATATTTTTGATTTCATCTTATCCCTATTTGTCATCCTTGCAATTTCTTCATCTCCTCTGCTCTTTCCTGTATTGTTTCTATTTGCTTCAATGTCTGCAAGATGCATGGGCTATTCGAATGCTCTGAGAAACTCAGCATGCTTTTGCCCTCCGCTTCCGCTGAGCCTGGGCCACAGCCACAGCCTGCTATACCCTACAAGTGATCCATTCGACCTGTGAACCTGTGTTCCATTGGAGCATGGGAAGCCTAAGTTGTGTCCCATGCGGGTGCCAGGTGGCGGAGCGCTCGCTGCTCCTGTTCCTGAACAACGAGTGCATAAACAACCTCTTGAACCAGTTCCGCACGGTGCTGGTGCCCATCATCCTCCCCCCTCTGGAGGACAACGCCCGGGGCCACTGGAACCCCTCGGTGCACACCCTCACGTGCAACGTGCGCAAGATGCTCCAGGACATGGACGAGCAGCTGTACGAACAGTGCCTGCAGCTGCACCAGCAGCAGCTCCACCACAGGCAGAGCGAGACCGAGGACAGGTTCAGGAGCTGGCAGCAGCTGGAGGCGGTCGCAGGTCAGAAGGCGGCCGCAAACTCTGGCGACGGCCAGCCAAGCAGGCCTCTCAGCGTGACCAGGCAAAGGGGCCACTGACAGTGGACACCTTGGACGCGCCCTGGCCCGGTGACACTGCCCCCATGTGTGTCTCTGTGCTCACCTCATTGAAGCTGGCCGGTTTGTGTCAGCGGGGCGAGGCTGGAGCTGGGCTGGCAGATGTGCGCCGCGGACTGGGCCCGTGGGTGGCCATGGCTTGCTCGGGTTTGGGCCTGTGTTCCCATGGATGCCGGCATGGGGCACATCTGCGACAAAGCCCTGGGACGGCCTTTGCCTCTGCTTCGGATGTGGTCCAGGGCTTGCCAGGGTGGGCTTAGCCCCTTGGACTATGTGTGACGGACGCACGCCCCGCACCTCGCACTCTGTCGTTTGCAGTATCTCGAGTCCAAGATCGTGGAGGCAGGCGCCCTGTAGGCAGCTGTCGGAGAATGCGTGCACCAGATATAGCTAGGGCCGAGCCAGCGGCGGACTGTGCAGTGGCTGGTGCCCTGTTCATTTTCCCATAGGTGCATGTGCTCATACTAGAGGGGGTTTGGGGTGGCTCGGGGCTGGGGAGGAGAAGGCAGACCTAGGGATGGGGAATTTGGACCATTCATTCCGAACTCTGTGTACACATCCTGTAGCTCTATTGTCGAGGGCCGCGCGCAAGGTGCTGCTGAACGGGATGGGGGCCTTCTATTGACTGTGTGCGGACCAGTACTTACCACGTGTGACAGAATGTATGTTGGGCAGGTTGTACACATTTGCTTCTACCCATGAGTTGTCAATGGCTTCCGTCATGTGCAGCTGTTATTTATTGACTCTATGTATCTCGTGGCATGAGGCTCACACGGATGGGCCACACTGCAAGGCGCGAGGTGGCCTTACAAATGGCCGGGCCAGACGGGTGCCAGACTGTTCCTGCCTGGACAGCATCGGGAAAGAGAGGGGTGCTGGCGCTGGTCGCTGTGCCTCCACAGGGTTTGCATGTGCCGTGGCCACGGGCAAGAATAGAGGTGCACAGATGTAGGGATCAAAACATGGCAAGAATATGTCGATTCGACGTGCCGATTCCGGATGCAGATTTCCAGCGGACGAGGATTCGATTCGGGACGGAAAAGGTCCTAGGGGCTTGTGGATGTGCTGGCAAATGAGGCCGTTGTACTATTGGGGGCCTGGCGGGGAGCCGAGCAGCATGGGCTGGATGGGAATTTAGGAAAGGTGGGAATTCCCTATTTGGGAAGGCCTGGCAGAATGACTGATGAGGGCTGCGCACGCCTGTGTGCTGATCCCGATCGGAAAGTGCCCAAGGGGAATCTCCATGTTTTGAATTGTTTGTTGTATCGATTGGGGGCTGAGAGCAGCGTGGACAGCAAGGTTATCCCTTGGCTGCTGCGTAGATTGGACATCATGTGGCGTCCGTGCTGGGGACGGAGGGGCGTAGCATCGAGTGTGGGCGCTTTGTCGCAGCCAGATCACAGCGGCTCCTTTCTTGGGCTTGCGAAGGGTCGCTGCTCTTTTTCTGCGGTCATGCCAGCGGAGGTTTCTAGGACAGTTCCACAGCGGAGGTTCTTTGGGCGGGCACCCATGCGGGTGGGTGCAGCGTGTTTTGGCACACGAGCGGCATGCGAGGGGAACACGCGGACTGAATAGAAGGCGGGGTCGAATTTCGGAGAGAGACTTCTCTCTGGGGGCTGAGAAGGGGCATCTTGCCATGCAGCTGTGCGGGAGGCCTTGGCACAGGCACGTATGCAAGTCGACGACAGGGGTGTGTGGACGGAAGGGGCGAGGACAGCAGTGCAGGGAGGTGCTCGGTGCGGGCTTCTGCGGACGCGCTGTTGTGGCGAGGTTGTGCCGGAGTTTCTGCGGCCGTGCCCTTCCGGCCGGCGACGGGATGGTGGTCCCTGGGTTGTAAGAATTCTCGAAATCGAGTGGCGCGATGTGAGTCGGGCTGACGAATCCCCCCGATTGCTTGCTGCTCCCGGCTGCTGGCTTTCCTTGAAAGGTGGGGGGAAATCAGCCGGTGCTGGCGTTTGAGCTTGGGGCGTGCCAACAGCTGCTGCCGCTGTGGCTGATTTGCTGCCAGCTTTCGGCAGTTTTCGGCGCCGCTACCCATGGATGCCCGTCTGTTTTCCGTTCGTTGCTGGCAAGTAGCAACCCATGGGACAGGGTTGTTGCTGTCGCAGTACTTTGGGTCGAGTTGTGACGAACACGACACATTCAGCACTGTCAACGAGGACGCTTCGGTGCCTATGTCAGCAGGCATGGAGATGCCCCTCTCCTGTGCACTGAATGGACTTTCGATCAATCAACGTCCTTAACGTAAATGCAGCGCGGCACTTCATCCTGATATCCAGATGTGGTGTGGGTGTTTTGTTGTTCCCCAGGCAATCCCAAGCCCCAGCTGTGCCCAGACTGGGCGCATAGGACGTATCAGGGCGTATTAGGTAGTTTCAGGGCGTATTAGGTAGTATTAGGGCAAACTGATGGGTAGGGGTGCGCCGTGCTGGTGGTGTTGACGACGTTCACGTGCTCATTCGAACAACCCATCAAACACCCCATTGGATGGGCACAGTCACTGAACCCTGTCCACACACGCCATCTGTGAATTACGACACCATGAACAGCGCTCAGTGCGTCTAAATTGCTGCCACGGTGCCCCGCTCAGCAGCGGACTTGCCATGAGTTTCAACCTTGGAAGCTGCCACTACCAACGTGTCCATTGTAAAGCTCGTGCACCGCACAACCGTCGACAGGATGTGGCCAGCTGCACCGTACTCCCAAGTGCTGCTTTGGGGACAGGACAGAAAATTTGATTCACAGGGGTCTGGGACCGCGGTCCCAGCGGTCTCATGTGGCGGCTTGTGCCAAAAGTCGCAAAGGGTCCCCCTCTTCCCCAAGCACCAAATGGACCCTGCTATTGCTCAGCGGTGGAGTTTAGAGCAGTGACTGCTGCAACCTCCACTCTTGTGCCTGCATCAGTCGCACCACCCCTCCTCTATCAGCTCGTGCAGATCAACTAGCATCCAATCGCTGCTCCAATGACTGGTCTGGAGTCCCGTCCCTGTCACTGAAAGCACCGTATCTTCGGCAGCTGGCGGCACCAAAACACCAAAGCACTGAACAGCTCCGGTCGTTGAAGCAAACGTCGATTTTGTCCTTGAGGCAAAAGTGGCGTGCAGAATGCCGCTCATTTTGGGCAAATCGAACGGCACCACAAGGGGTCAGTCCTTTGAATGGGTGGGTCACACACTCTTCTAAAAGACCGAGGCGCGTTTGACATGTTGAGTAAGTATCCCGCGGCCCCGATACTATAACAAAATCCCTGCCTTTGAATTCTGCAATATTTAGTCGTCATCATCATCACCATCAGGACTTCTTGCATATCGTGGCGAGGAGGCAGCCTTGAGAGTCCTGTTTCGCCCGACCAAAGAAGTGTCCATGATGCGTGTTCACGAGAACCCTAAGTTAGTGCCACAATCCAACCACTGAGTTGATGTGCATCGAAACGTGCAAATGCACAAGCTGGTTATGGGAATGGGAATGGGTATTGGGATTAAAGTTTAGTCATCGTCCTCATCATTCGTTTTTGCGTAGCAAGGCAACGAGATAGCTGTCAGCTTCCTATTTTGCCCCAGCAAAGCAGCACTGCACTAATGTCTGATCATTGAAGTCTAATGCACAACATGAACAAAGTGAAGCGCGGCCCCCAAGCACCGCCCTCCCACGCCAGCCCAAGGTCCTGTCGGGCCACGGGTGGCCCGCATCCCAGATCCCGCCCTATCCCCTCAGCATCGTGTCCAAACCCATCTCGCCAAACCCCAGACAACTCTGTCCGGCCTCCCAAGAAATCTCCGCCCCCGGGAACCTCCGCCATGGGCGCCGACCAGTCCAAGGCTTCGCCGGCGGCGGGCCCGGGCGCCTCCCCCGGGCCCGGGGGCCCAGTGCCCGCGTCCCTCTCCGCCACCGAGACCCTCGTGGACGCGGTCCTCGCGGTCTCCGAGAAGAAGCTCCTCCCCCTGGCGCGCGACGCGGCAAAGGAAGGGCGTGGAATCGAGACGTGCGCCATCCTGAAGAAGTCCGATTTGTCCGTCGTGGTGACCGGCTCGAATTGCGAGACCTTGAATCCCATTTTCAGTGCCGAGGTTGAGGCAATCGTCCGGTTTTTCAGCGAAGACAATCCGCCGAGGGCGCGCGACTGCTACTTCGTCTGCACGCACGAGCCCGGGGTGG